TTAAATTGATTGTAACTAATTAAAAAATAATTATAATTAACTAAAAATGAATCACAATTTGAAAATTAGTCATAATTAATTTAAAACTAATTGTAATTAACTTAAATTAATCATAATTAATACAAATTAGTTATAATTAAAGAAACATAATCATAATTAACTAAAACTAATTTTGATTAACTATAATTAATCATTATTTAAAAGAATTAATTATAATAAATCACAATTATTTTTAAACGGGCATTTTGGACACAGGAATGAAGCAGGATTTTATACAGGGACTGTCGGGCTATAGGATTTAGGCAAGAATTATGTAGGATTTATGCTAAATCTTATTAAAACAAGGAAGGTTAAATCTCACAGCCGAGTTAAATCCTCTGTTTCTCCCCTTTTTGCTCGGCAAACACACGGGAATCAACCGAAGAAGTGCGTGAAGGGAAGGGAAGGGAAGGGAAGGAAGATGATTACCTTCACGGCAAGTGAGCTATCGTCATCACTTCTGATTTCAACAGACGAACGGTGAGGTGTATGAAGCTGGCTGGTTAAGAGGTCTGATTTGCGACCCAGGGCAGGAGATGGGAATTAATCGTTATTTCGACAGTGGGGAAAGAGCAGGTGGGGAGATCTGCAGTGGAGTTAGGGCATGGAGACCGAGAGTTTTCGGGAGAAAGTGTTTGCATGAAGGAGAAGGGAAAGAGCGGAAGAGAGATAGAGTTTCAATTTGTAAGTGAGTAGCAATCGAAGGCTTCGTCTCTTCATGTTTTAACGACGCAAGCAAGACGACGTGCGAAGAGCGGCGTCGGCATCGATGTGCGTAGGACTACGGAGGATGTTCGAACCGCGAGATCTGCGCAACTTCGTAAGATATCATTGTACAAAGGTCGTGCGAGCACCGTTAACTACGGCAATTAACAGGTATGCAGTGATATTGAGTTGAATTTTTTTTTTTTTTTGTATTATGTACATGTCAACATTCTTTTCACTAGCCATGTGATCCCCAATCATCAGTCCATTGCATGTTGGTTTTAATGTAATTATTGCAGTGTTTACAGTAATTAATAGTTGCTTTAATTAATATTTGTTAACAAATAACATTTTATTAAATGAAATCAAATTGTTAATTAATTATTATTAAGCTATTAAATGAATTCTTATTTATAATTATATATCAAAATATTCAAAATTTAAAATAGAATTTAATGTAATTAGATTTGGCATTTTTATATGTGGGAGAAAATAGGGGAAAATTTTGGGGCTAATTGTATGCTTTCTTTATGTCAAACTTTTGAGTGTTACACTGGCTATGGGATTAAGAGGGAAGGGACAACTAGGATGCTTGGGAAGGTATTCACTACAGGAAAAACGCCGAAATTCGGCGGTTTTTTCTGGCAGTTACTATAGATTAACCGGCAGTTTTATGGATTGCCGGCGGCTTTGCGGCGGTATTTAAGCCGCCTGAAAAAATCGCGTAGGAAACATTTATCGGCAGTTTATGTTGGCCGCGGTTTTCCGGCAGCGCATACCGCCGGTGACAACCGGATTTGGAACCGGCGGTTTTCCGGCCGTTACGCCGCCGATTATCTGATCGACGGCTGACCGGCAGTCATATTACCGACGGTCTTCCGGCGGTTTAGGTGGGCGTCGTTTGTTTCTTAAACTGCCGGTTCATTTACCGGCGATTGCTGACGGTTCGAGCCGTCGGTATAACCGACGATGTACACCGCCGGATGTCCACCGTAACACCGCCGGGGGCCGTCAGTAACCGCCGGTAATAAACCGGCGGTGTAATGCCATTACCGGCAGCTTGTCATTGGCCGTCCGGTATCGTAGTTTCCGGCGGCCAAACCGCCGGTTGGCCGCCGGAAACCTGTAGCACCTGCAAAAAAAAATTGACAGCATCCCCTCTATTTGAGGGAGGTTCACCCTAAAGTCTAAACCTGCAGAAAGAGCAAGATATTTTGGACAACACGCCGCTATATTCATCAAAACCATAAATTATAAATACAATCACAAGCTCATCATAAGATTACAATCACAAGTTCAGAAGTAAGTTCATGATAAGGTTACAATCACAAGTTCACAAGTTCTAATTAATACAATCATCAAACATAAAAAATATCTAATCCTCATCTGTATCCTCACTGTATGCAGATGGCTGCTCCTGTTGGTCCTTCTTCCTCTGTTTTTCAGCTCTGTAGGATTGCAACTCTGCTTGCATTTCATGCTGAACCTTTCTCATTTCTTCAATCTCTCTAGATTGAACCCTTTTCATCTCTTCAATCTCTCTAGTAAGCGCTGCAACCCTCTCGCTTACAGATTCTTCAGCTCCACTTGGATCATGAAATGCATAGGTGTATGAACTGCCCTCAATAGCAAAAGCCTGTGAACCCATGCCATATACCCTCCCCCTCTGTCTTCCACCAACAACTTCTGACCATGTTTGATACTCAGAAATGTGGGCCGATCCAGAAGATGATCCCTCGCCAGTGGACTGCCGACTTTCTCTAGCTCGTACGAAATCATCCCTGTGATGATGGTGGGGGGTAATATGGATAGAATGGAGAAGCATGTGTCTGATCTGGAGAGGGGAAGCGAGGACTCGTCGAGCTGGGAGGAGGGAAGTGGCCAGGGAAGTATGGAGGTACAACAGGAGGTGGATCTAAATGTCCCTGACCCTGCTCTGGTGAATGCTGCTGGCTCCTGGCAGGTGGTGGCGGTGGTGGTGTAAGTAGATCTGGTGGAACTGAAGGCCCCTCACCTACCTCAGCCTGTGTGGGTCTGCTAGCAGTAATCTTCTTCCGGCGGAACTTTGAGGCAAATGATTTACGAGGAGGATCGTCGCCTGAAGCCATCTGCAATATTAAAAAAAAATAATTACTAAAGTATTGAAAAACAATTACTAAAGCATTAAAAAAAATAGTTAATAAAGCAGTTAATGAAGCAGGTAATGAATTACGACAAGCAGTTAATAAAACAGTTAATGAATTACAAAAAGCAGTTAATAAAATACAAGCTGGCAAATAACAATTTCATTTCTTAGAATTCAAAATATTACAAAACATTAAAATTCTACAATTCTAAATTACAAAACTAATCAGAATCATCAAAACTATTTTCATCGCTCTCAAGGGTATCTTCACTTTCATCCTCGTTCTCTTCTTCGCCTGAACTAGTTGAACTATTCACATCTTCTAACTCCATTTCAATAGTAGAGGTTGTAGTTGTCATCTCCTCAATTTCAACAGGTCTACAACTTGACATCTGGTGTAGGGCAGGTAGGAGGATAATAAAGTTTATGAAAATGTTGAGAAATTCTTTGACTTAAATTAGATAAGTTGCTAGAACTCCCATCCAAAGCCACAAAAACAGAGATTCCATTGATATTTTTCCTTATTCATATTTTGGAGTATAGAAATTTGAGATCATCATCACCATTCTTAAGCCACTTAGCTTTGGCACGTTAAATAATCCATGAGGCCCAAGAGGAGGAAGTCTCAATAATTTTAAATTTTAGATATTTAAGAGTGTAGTTAAGATCTGGATTATTAGGGTCAGCATCTAGTAGAGGGAGAGAGAGAGAGTAACTTTTTGCTGATTAGTAAGGTCTTTCAAAGAGTCTTCAATGGTAGAAGAAGTGTCCAAATGCTCCTTCCTAATGCCGGTTTTAAACTTCTTGAGCTTGGTGCAGAAATCCACCAATGGGTTAGCAATGCAAGGTTCCAAAAACACTTTAAGGAGTATATCCGAATTCTCCTTAAAATTAGTCCAAAATTTTTTGAATTGGAACCTAAGATGTTTTGAGTGATTGAGGAAGTCCTTGAGGATAATTGGAGAGTGATTCGAATAGAGAGGCTCCTTAACCAAGTAATAAGAGTTAGGAAAAACACATAGCTATGCATCATTACACGGTCAAGCTTAATATGAATGGGATTATCTACTTGTTGATTAAACAAAGTGTAGAAGAAGCCACCATAAGCCAAATCATATAGCTAAGCATTAAAAATGAGAGAAAGTAGTTCCCAAAGTTTACTAAAATAACTCTTAATAAAAAAAAAAATTAGATCTAACAAAATGATTACAACATTACATCTTTGCTTACTACCTAAATCATCCAAAATATCTCTAACACTTGCAAATGTGTAGTGAGAACAAATAATCAAAGAAAATAAATAATTACAGAATAATGCATAATTGCACTAATACAGTCATCCAAATATGGAAGGAGATTGGCATGATTCAGGTATGCCTCCCACAGATCCCCATGCTGACCATGGGATCAAAAGGGAAGGGGTGATTGGGTTGGTTGTGATGGTAGTTGACAGATCCAGGTGAGCCTCCCACGGATCCCCACACTAGCCATGGGATCAAAACTGAAGGGGTGATTGGGTTGGCTGTGATGGTAGTTGTTAGATCCAGTTGAGCCTCCCATGATTCCCCATGCTGGCCATGGGATCAAGAGGGAAGGGATGGCTGGGATGGTATTTGACAATATCTTCTTCAAATTGAAGTTGTAATTAATTAATCTTTTTTCATATTGATTCACTAATACCTATCATGTAGGGAAGTACGATGTTATGTTACACCTGTGCGGCAGACTGCATTTTTGTGTCATTCAATATCATTATTATTGTGGGGTACAATTTCGCAGGAACTTCCTGTAATTTTGTTCTTGTTATTTCTTCTTTTTAATGTGATTATTGTTTTATTAATTTTTATTAGAAATCCAAGTGGAGGTGATAGGCAATGAATATTTACTCACTCCCTTTAGGGCGAAGGGTGATATTTTTTTTTTTTTTTTCCTTTTTTATAGTTATGGATAAATGCTATTTTTTCTTTCCTAACGTCTCAAATTGATTATGCCATTAAGATTTTGCTTTTGAAATAATAAAATAGGTTTTTCTTTTGTGGTGATGTTAAACCCAACCTAGATAGATCAATTTATAAATGTTGCCATTAAGATGTAATCAGCCTGAACTAGACTGCTAATTTTCATTTTTTAGGCTTCTGATGATAATGGAAGCGTAGAGCTCTTACACTTGGACGATGCAAGATGGGAGTCTGTTGTTCAAAAACCTTCTATGGATAAGGTTAGCATAGTTTGCTCAGTCATTTTTGTTTTATTTTACTTTCGAATAATATGTGAAAGTTATATTGGTGCAGCATACATGCGGCTTTCAACCGAGAGATTGGTGAGCATTTTGAATTCGTGTATGGTCAATAGTTTGCAATTGATGGATGATATATATTTGCTTTGCACAACTTGATTATAACTTTTATATTAATGGTTTGTTGATTTGATACAAAAATAATATAATAAAATTAATCTTTGTAATACAAATGCAGTTGATTTATTGACATTTATTTTACAACAAAGTTGTGAAGAAAATTAGAACTGCAGTTAAATAAATGCACTTGAACCATACACCGGAAACAACTTCCCTTCCACATCATTTACTTTCTATCTAATCCGACGCCATCTAAAAGGTCCCTTAGGATTCTTTTGGCGGCTGCATTATTCCGTTAATTTTGAAAAGCTGTTGTAATATGTTTATGATAGTTTCATAAATCCTTTAGTCGTGTAGCACTGCCCTTCAGAATAGTTTGCATTCTCATTGCAAAAATTTCATGCACAGTGCCTATGGCAGTACTTTATATGATGTAGCGATGGTTTCTTTTCTATTACTACGTGCACAGTTGAAGTTTGGTTACAAAGTCAAGGATTAATTTTAATTTTTTAAGTGTAGGGTGTAAAATTTGATTAAGAACCCCCTTAAAACTTCATCATATGTCATTCAAATTTTCGTTATGTTTCAGAAAGTCCTTTAAATTAAATTATTTTTTTAGCAGCCTCTCATTTGGTCATTTTCATCATAAATGGTTTCATGTATGCCTTCTTCATTCTATGAAGTACACAAGCCTACACGGAACATGGATGCCATGCAGGCATGGTGACTTGGAAAATCATGGTATTATAGGGCATTACGCACCCACTGGATCATGTACATCAAATAGTTGAATATATAAAGATATTTCAAACTTGTAATCTCTAAGTCATCTTGAAGGCTTAGCTATTGCTCCGAATTAATATTCTAGAAAGATGATATGTGTATTGACAAGATATTGATAGAACACAGAAAATGCTGCATTTACATTAGCAGAAATTCCTTCTATCGAATATTTGAATTTCTTGAAAACATTTGATGTAAAAGTCCAATTCACTCTTTTATCTAGGAGAACTCTAGATACTTTTATTTTTAGTCCATAGGATAGTTATAAAAAGTTAAAATTCTGCTTCACGTATTTTTTCAAAATATATATGAATTCATAAATATTTGATATCAAACATATATAAGAAAAATTTACACTCAGCACTTTTATCATTTGAGGATTATCTTAAAATTTTCCTTTCTTACATCTGAAGATCATTTCTGCAATTGTATGATTTTTTCTTTTCCAATCATAGCAGTTTAACAAGATGATGATATGAGTACAATAAGAGCAATTATCAAAAATTGGCTTAATGCAACTAAAAGAAAAAATCAAATACATAAAGCAAATAGCCAAAGGATGAATCATCCAACATTATGGGAAAATACAAGTAAGAGCTCATTTGGAATAGTTTTCACATGCATGTATTATCCATGAAAGGAATAAACTATTTATTAGCTCTCTTTGATCATATAGATGCACATCTAAACAAGTTTGAATAACCTTACAAACATTTTATTTGTGTACTATATTCTACAAGAAAGTGCATAAAAAATCTGATGTGATAATGTTTGTGCTGAATATAATAAGCCAAACATAAGATAACCTTGTGAACGTTTCCTTTTCATTTATATTTTTTGATAGCAGTTAGATGCATGATTTTTCCTCAAGAAACATCCTAATTTGTATAATCTGAATTTTCCTGCAGCAAAATTGTTGAAAATGCTTCTAATATGCAAAGAACTGTATTGGGCGAAAGTGCTAGAAACTATGAGCACGTTAGGAGTCCTGCAATATTTGGTAACTGACACTTTTTGGAATTTTATGCCGTCTATGATCCGCTCCTAGTTTTGAGAACTCTTATTATTAAGCAAACTATTGGTTTAATGTTTTTCTTTGTTAATGGAAGTGTTTTTGGTATTGCATTTAAAGCTCTATTTGGGCTTTTGATCACAATTTTCCTTCTCTAAATGGGTTTTTGATGTAGGCAAAGGGGCAGTCTAATCAACTTGGGTTCTTTTTGTCCTTGGGTTGTTTGCTGTTTCTTTGTTTGGGGCCTTGGCTGCTTTCGGGTGGGCTTTGGCTGCTTGGTTTTGAGCTAAAAAAGTTAGATTCTACTTAGTTTTAAGCTCATTAATGCTTGATCTAATGATACCTCATTAATTTGCATGAATTTGGTTCTTCCCCCTTGGTTGTTCCTTCCCATTTTTGTGTCTCTTTGGTTTCTTCCTTGTGATTTATTGTTGTGGGCTTGTTGTCTTTTGGGATTTCTCCCTGGCTGCTTTCCCGTGAATCCTCTGCCCCGTTTCCTGAGTTAGCTCCTCGGTCCCTCTCTGGCTAATTTCCCGTGGCTTCCTGGCTGGGCTTCCCGTGGCTTGCTGGCTGGGTTTCCCATGGCTTTTATTCTTGTTTTCTGTGCAGATTTTGGGGGCTGTTTGTGGTGTCTTTTGGCCTTCCTCTAGCCCTTAATTAATTAATTGGTTTCAAGTGGTTGTTTGTCTCCCCTTTCTCTCCTATAAATATGTGGTGTTTTGTATTGAAAAAAAGGTTGGTTGTGATGATGATTTTTGGATAAAACATGCGGGTTTCTTTGCAATAGCTTGCAAGCTATGTCCTCCACCTTCCTCTCCACTCTATAGCTTGCGAGCTATACTTCGTCTAGTCTTCTAACCTCTTTTTTCTATCCGCAAGTATCTACCCCACTTGTATCCTTATTCTCAATGGATGAAATGCAGTTTTAGGAATTTATGTTTTGGAAGTTTGTAAGTCCTTTTGTAAGCGTCCTTTGTTGTAAGCGTTATGTTTTATTTATAAAGTTTGTTGTTGTCGTATTTTGTCTATTTTTGAGTATTTTATATATTTTCTTTTATCCTAGGAAGAGTTCTCTTTTGCTCACAAAAATTTGCGGGTTGTCCCAAATTTTTGCTTGCATGAGTTTTTTTTCTTTGTTGAAGTTATGTTGTTATGGGTATACTTTGGATTTTGGAATCATTTGTCCAGTTTTCAGGCTACAGTAAATAATAAACGCTTCTTTTAAATGTTGCTCATATTATTGCTATTTTTGCTATGGACATAATTAAAGCATTGTTTAATATTGTTGAGATTCTCCTGCGGAGTATCCAGTCAGCTGCGCTTTCTAGAAATTGGCAGCTGCGCTTTCTATAACATGGCAGCTTGAAATCTCTCAGTTTACTAAGGGACTTGTATGACAATTCAAGCAGCCTAAGGCTAATGTTGATTTTTGTTGAGTCAATGATAACTAAAAAGAAAAGGAAATAGATTGCCACAATCTGCCCTTATTATCAAGGAGTCGGACTACTACAACAACAACAACAACATCAAGCCTTTATCCAACTACGTGGGGTCGGCTACATGAATCCTTTTTCTCCATTATGTCCTATTAAAAGTCAAATTCTCGTTTAAATCTAATAAAGAAAGGTCATTCCTAATATTTTCTAACCAAGTCTTTTTAGGTCTACCCCTACTTTTCTTAACATAAGTCAAATCTAATACCTCTACTCTCCTAACCGGGTCATCGCAAGGCCACCGTTTTATGTGACCAAACCATCTAAGGCGACTCTCTCTAATCTTATCTTCTACTGGAGCTACTCCAACCTTTTCACGTATATGCTTATTTCGTATCCTATCTCTAAGGGTAAAGCCACTCATCCACCTGAGCATCCTCATGCCACACTTAACTTAGTATTATGCTATTTCTCCATTGGATGATTTGAACCCTATTCAAAAAAAAAAAAAAAAATAAAAAAATAA